TCAGGAGAGATTTACATTTGAGATAATCCTCAGATTGATATGTTAGATATTTAGTGATTGTATGATGTGACTCATTTCTGGACCATTTCATAGAATAAGTTGTGCTTTGTGTGGTGTTAGCATATTTTGTGAATTATTTGTATGCTCCTACAGAGGTTGCCATAACCATTTTGTGTGTGCTCATAGTTTTCTGTAGCTCAATCACTGGACATCAACACTGCTACTTTTAGCAATACCAGTTGTACTATTAGTACTTAGTGGTAAAGAGCAGTCATTGATGCTATGGTAGAAAATCTGATTATAGAAGAACTTACCTCTGATTTTATCCAGTTTCATCTGAGATAAGAGACAAAAACTCAACATCAGAATGATGATCAAAGGGGTTGATTTAGTTTCATTTTAAAAGTTAATAATAGCAATAATAATTTTATGGGCCTAACATGTTTAAAAAATACACAAAATGTCACATTTCGGCAAAAGAAGATCTAAATATGTAGACACATACTTACATGGAAGGGAAGGCAAGAATAAGAGTTGAAAGGAAAGATCCCACGACCAGGACAACTAAAACAAGTAGAAAATGATTAAAGAACTTCTGACCAACCAAATAGACTTTTCATTTAAAAACACATAAAGATTAACGGGCGACTGTGGCTCAGGGGGTTGGGAATCGCATCTGTAACCGGAAGGTCGCCGGTTCGATCCCTGGGCTCTCTGTCCTGGTCGTTGTGTCCCTGGGCAAGACACTTTACCCTACTTGCCTACTGGTGTTGGCCAGAGGGGCCGATGGCGCGATATGGCAGCCTCGCTTCTGTCAGTCTGCCCCAGGGCAGCTGTGGCTACAACTGTAGCTGCCTCCACCAGTGTGTGTGAGAGTGAATGAATAGTGGTATTGTAAAGCGCTTTGGGTGCCTTGAAAAGCGCTATATAAATCCAATCCATTATTATTACGACCTGATTGGCTGACAAATGCTGTCACAAATTTTAAGAGCTATATTTATGTCACCTCTGGATTTATGGCAATTAAATATAAAATAAGGTCTGAGCATCATTTCTGCCTCCAAGAAAGGAGATAAATATGAAGAGAAATTCATTGTGGTTAATTGTTCATTTTTAGCTTTTCATTTCTAATTAATGAATTTTGCAACAATGTCAAAAATTATTTACAAATACACAGGTTTAGCAACTTTATTTATTTGTTAACATTTACTTCTTGTCATTGTTACTTACAAGCTGAAGCACTGGCTGGGACACCATTTCCAACAGTCACGCTGACACATCGAAGGTCTGAGTGATACTTGGTTTCACTACGGAAATAAATCAGAACAGTGATTCCATTATTTCCATGACATTATATTATATTTTAAAATCGTCTTTTTTGTTAATGACACAAAGTAAATGTACAAGTAATATGGGTGTGTTTGATTAACAGTTCTAGATGACAAACCAATAACTTTTTGGTTGGTCATTGGAAGCAGAGGAAGGGGTTTTGGCTTTTTGGGGGGATTTAATTTTCTTGCCATGACTCCTTCTGGGCCTGGGGTCTAAATAATTTTCTAATAAAGTCAGATTTAAACATTCACCAATATAGTTTATGGCTGCAAAATTGCAAATGGACTGATTCTTCTTTAGTGCTTTTCTGCTTTATGCAGCACGCCTCATTCACCCATTCAAACAAGCTCTTTTGTCTATGCTTAAGTGCTTTCTGCCAAACACTCATGCTCTAAGGGATGAATTTGTAAAAAGGTACTGACTTGGAAAGTGCCTGGACAACAAAGCAGAAGGGGAGGGTGTCATTGTCTTGTGATTTAGATGGCGTCCATCTCAGGGTGAAATTTCCTGGTCCAGTTTTATTCTGAATTGCATCATATGGTCCGCTGAACAGCAGCTCAGAGATCCTTCAACGAAGATGAGAAACAAAAAATGAATCAACTTAATTCTCATAGCTTCTTCAACTACATACAAAGCAAAGTGTTTGTCTGTGAATGAGCATCACTTTGAATGGAGACTTCACCTGACTCACTTCTGTTTGGTTTTAAGGGTTTGAGTTAATAAGCCAAATTTTACTTAAACATAATTTCACGAGTTTTTATTTACTCATGTTGCATCAAAGCAAAATAGCCTTAAAACAGATTTGACTTCTCTTTGGGTTAAATATGTGTTGAACCTACTCTTTATATCTCATACAGCCTTGTATACATCTGACTGTGTTACGCTCTTACGTGTCTTGTTAAACCTGTTTTGTGTGCCAGTGCAGGACTGATGCACAGATTAAACAGAACGCAACGGATAAAATCTTGATTTGATCAATGAACAGAAACATGACAGGAATCGACTGATGTGTGAATGTATTTCTTGTCTAACCTGAAAACAGTTCTGTGGGACATAGTTGACCTTACTTTACAATGTCAAGAATGTCAAATGTGTTTTTCTTTGACTTACGTGGAGTTTTGTGCCTCTGCACTGATGCTGATTTCCAGAGTCTTATTAACAGGCGTGTAGAGCCGAGCTCTGTTGTTTGGGGTTGGAGGCAAGAATTTGGGCAAAAAAACTCCCTCTGTGCAGGATAAGACATGAGGATCCACTGAAAGATGACAGAAAACCAACGAGTTTCTTTCGGGGTGGAATTCATAGTTCGAAGTTAGAACAGTATTTCTAAGTTTAGATCAGATCTTTACAGGTTCAACTCCATCTATTAAAATATGGACTTGTACCTATCAGAACAAACTGGATCGGTATTTTGCTGAGAGCATCGTTAGGTGTTTGTGTTGTTTTTGTGCCATTGACTCCAGTCATGGTGATGTTCTTCATGGGAAAGTCCTCCATCAGCAGCTGTACTCCATAGTTGCCCACATTACTGTCAGCAGTGGGGCCGAACGACAGAGTACAAGTGGACTGCATGAGGAATAAAAAAGGAAAAGAGATCAAATGAGCAAATGTTTATTATTACAACTATCCTTCTGTCTCATTAAACATTAGATTAACAGTCATGCTCACTGATGAGAGGCTGAGGACAGATGGTGGCTCACAGCTGTTACACTCCGAGAGTGAGGAGTTTCCATATCTGCATTTAACCTGATCCCCATCAGGGTCAAACATCAACAGGCTGAAATCTCTCCGACAGTTTGAAGGAACTCTGAGAAAGAATTACAAATACAATCTTCATTTTCCAGGATTCACTTTAGTGTGAAGTTAATGTGCAGCTCCATGCATTCACTCTTAAAATCTGCAAAATACAGCCACAGCCTGATCACTGGAACTGAAATATTTTTGGTTAAAAACCACACAAGGTAATTTTAAACATAGCAATATTCAGTTCACTGTCTCAAAATAAAACTTTAAATTGTATAGTTTATACATTAAGTGAGATTTAATTTAAAGCATCACTAAACTACTTAAATATTACAGCAAACATGGAGGAACTGTCACGGACCCGGCTCTGGAGGACTGGGGGTCCGTGAGCAGTTTTGACAGTTGTTGTTATTATTATTATTATTATCGTTATTATTTTGTGATGTGTGTGTCTTTCTGCACAATGCTGTGTTAGTCTGTGTTCCACTCGTTATATGTATAGGCAGGGTGTGGGTGTGTACATGTGTGGCTGGAGGATGGAGAACAGCCACATGCAGGCCTGATGGGTGTGGCCCTGCAGGAGGACTGGCCACACCTGAAGCTCCTGCCACACACCTGTTGGTGATCAGGGCTCGTCGGGGGAGCTACTTAGGAGAGTGTTGGAGCTCCAGGTGGAAGAGTGGACCAGAACAGCAGCACGCACAGGGTGTGCGAGCACACAACAGCGGGGACCACGAGCACACACACACACGGGATTCAAGGGAGCAACGGGGAGTTATTGTGTTTACAGCCTTCACTGTAAATAAAGTGCGCTGTTTGCATCGCAGAACCATGCGTTTTGGGTCCTCGTTCCCCCATATTCCCACGGTCTGCCAGCCAGACCGTGACAGAATGATCCCGCCAACAACCATGGACCCAGCAAACTCAGGAGTTGCCACGGAGGAGGGATCGCTCACGCAGCTATGGGATTACTGCCGGAGCGTAAAACAGGCTGTAGACCCACCCAAGAGACATATACAGGTAGTGTTCTTTGACAATTATCTCTCATTGACTACCTTCACTGCGAACTTTTTGGACATTAAGAAACTTAAGCAATTGGTCACTAGTTTAAGGGAGAGCTCAAGTTTTGAATTATTTGGCTTGGGTGGTCTGAGCAAGGAAAGTTCGGCTGCTCTCCTAGAGGCTTGGTTTTTCACGAATTGGCAGAGGGCTTTCCCGTCGATGCTTGCAGCACAATTGTTTGACCTCCCTTCTCCATTACAGAAAGTAGGTCGCCTTCGCCATCATCACCCCATTACACCTCAACCCACTCCTGCGGTTTCAGCCCGGTCAGCTGGCGACGGACCGACAGCACTCATTACCGCAGTGAGTAAACCAGACTCATTTGTTTCTATTAATCCTGTCATTGAAAATCAAAACACAGATGAACAGCAGAGGACTGTTTACATACCCCCGGCCCCGCCTTCACGGAGGAGAAGGCGTCCTCGCAAGCAGCGTTCAGCCACCTCTACACTCACTCCTGTGCTGGTCGAAGGCTCAGGACCAGCGGCTCTGGACGCCACAGTGAGTAAAATGGACTCTGCCGGTGTCGTAAATTCCCTTCCTGTGAACATGGACATAGAGACTATAGCCACTACGGCAATTAACAATGGAGAAACTGTAAGAGGTCTTTTGGACCACCGACGGACGAAGGTGGTCTGAGTGCTAATACTGGGGCAGAATTTTGCATAGACAGCCCTGAGGTAGTTAGCTCAGAGTCGGTGGGGTCAGAAACTGTTTGCTTTACCTCCAAAGACTCAGAAGATGTTCACTCTGAGACTGTGAGCTGGGAGCTAGGGAGTTCACAGCATACAGACCCAGATGACTTTTTGGCTCAGTCTGGCCATATGGAGACAGAGGTTCTCCCCAGGGCTTCCCCAGAGGCCAAACTGGAGGCCTCAGTTGCCTCTGGACCCCTGGAATTTGTTGAGCCAGCTGTAACATTCTCATCCTCTCCACCCTTCATAATAGCCATATCACCCTCAACTCAGTCCGCTGCCCAGCTAGTCACTCAGCTGTCATCTTGTTCCACCTTCCACACCCACTACTCTACCATCATCTCCACCACCTGCAGCCGTTGTACCACCATCTTCACCTCCGGATCAACCATCTGTTGTTGCGCCGTGGCAGGAGGGGCTCAGCGAGCCGGAGCGGGTGCTCGGCGAGCGGGAGAGCAGCTTGGAGAGCCAGAGGGACCAGCAGCACGTCCGCGACCAGCAGCACGGCCAGCACATCGTGGATTGTGTGTTGTGCTACATTGTCGTCCGCCACAGCTGCCACGCCGCCGCCACCGGACCCGTAGAAGCCCGCCGCAGCTGCCACGCCGCCGCCACCGGACCCATGGCCACCCGCCGGACCCATTTTGCCACGGCTGCCGGACCCATAGCCGCAATGCCGCCGCCACCGGGACCGTTTCGCCGCAGCTGCCAGACCCATAGCCGCCCGCCGGAGCTGCATTGCCGCCACCACTGGACGTGTGGCAGGCCGCCAGAGCTCTAGCGCTGTAACCATTGGACGCTTGGTAGGCCCCCAGAGATGCAGCACCGCCGCCACTGGATTAGTGGCAGGCCCCCGAACCGCTTCGTTGCTGCTGCCGGAACCATGGCCGTCCGCCGGAGATCCAGTGTTCCCGTTGATGGACTAGAGGTAGGTCTCCTGAACTGTTTTCGGCCTCTGCCTACCCACAGCAGGTCTCGCCTATTTTGCCACCCACCGGGTCGGCCGCCAGAACTATGTTTGCTGCCATTAGGGCGGGAGAGCTCGGCGAGCGGGAGGAGCGCACATCACCAACTGCGGGGCTCAGCGAGCAGGACGTGCCTGCGCCGCAGCTTGGAGAGCCAGAGGGACCAGCAGCACGTCCGCGGTGGCCCTGCAGGAGGACTGGCCACACCTGAAGTTCCTGCCACACACCTGTTGGTGATCAGGGCTCGTCGGGGGAGCTACTTAGGAGAGTGTTGGAGCTCACACCGGCGCGGGATCATTGAGTTGTCTACCCAAGTTAGTGTGTGTCAGCGTATGACGGTGTAGTTCATGTATGCCCGCCAGGGTTGGTGTTGATGGCTGTTTTTGTGGTTTCCCCCCCAGGTGGAAGAGTAGACCAGAACAGCAGCATGCACAGGGAGGGGAGCACACACACACGGGATTCAAGGGAGCAATGGGGAGTTATTGTGTTTACAGCCTTCACTGTAAATAAAGTGTGCCGTTTGCATCGCAGAACCATGTGTTTTGGGTCCTCATTCCCCCACAGCACGTCCTGCTCGCTGAGCCCTGCAGTTGGTGATGCGCGCTCCTCCCGCTCGCCGAGCTCCCTCACCCTAATGGCAGTAAACATAGTTCTGGCGGCCGACCCGGTGGGTGGCAAAACAGGCGAGACCTGCTGTGGGTAGGCAGAGGCCGAAAACAGAGGAACAGCGCTCTGACTTCGTAGTGTTAAGTGTGCTAAAGCTGTAGCTTACAGGCACTAAAGCACCACCTTCAGTGTTTACAGACTCTAGAGAAATGTGATCAGCTGATGCACCAATAGTCTTAGAGCTACTTTCTTCGGAGCTAACCATGCTTATACTGTCAGAGGAGGGGTTAATAGCCGATGTAAACATAGTTCTGTGCACCGGAGAGGCAGATGAAACAAAGTCTTTTACCTCCGGATCGCTGGAAGCAGCAAACCTAGTGAAAACAGTGGTGGGTGTAGTGCCCCCTGACTCAAGAAAATTTGAATCAGTAAATACGTCAGAATGGACTTTCCCCATGATGGCTCAGAAGTAACGAACTGGGGTCGAGCTATCACAGGAACATTTACAGTCTTGGATTTTACTGCTTTAACATCTAAGGAGGCAGGTTTTAAAGCCCCAGTGGTGAGCGTAACTGCAAACAATCATCATCAGCAGACACACAGGTAAAGGGCACAGAAACAGGTGTCTCTAACTCAGGAAATG